AAGACTGTCCCAGATCTTAAACTCCAAAGCACCCTTAACGCACACATTGAATACCACTCCAGAGCGATTTAATATGCTAAATAATAAATGGATTACATAATTTGGTAGAAAAAGTTATTGGTGCAAAGATTAAATTTTTTACAATTGCAACTGATTTTTATCACTTAATTAAAAGCACCACAAATTAAAATTGTTATAGGGACTACTGTACAGACATTCAGAAGTGGTTTAAAATACAAAGTACTTAATTAAAATAAAGCCATGTAAATGCTTTAATTTTTACAACACTAAGTGTGACCCATCATGTAATAAAGTTAGACAATTGGTTTTAATGCTCAATTGAACACAGAAAATAGAAGGACAGTTTATTGTTCCGTGGCCAGAAAATAAATATTCCTTGAATTGATAAATGATTATATTGTCTGCTCGGTGGACGGACAGATCAAATAATTGTAATATTGATTCTGCTACAGTTAATTCGAAGATATAATCTAAATATTTATTATGAATCATAACCATTTATGATTCGTCATAAATATTCCCCTTTTTAGAGCTAATAAATAATAATAAACGTTACACAAGTAATAATATTTTGTAACTGATACGGAACTTAACAGGTAGCCAGTGCAGAGACTGTAAAATTGGGGTAATATGATCATATTTTCTTGACATGGGAAGGACTCTAGCCGCTGCATTTTGGACCAGCTGTAGCTTGTTTATTGAAGATGAATATTCTTGTATATTCTACTGTTATAATCATGTATCTGAGGCCTGCGAATGGAATGTGCAGACATTGCAGGGGTACAGTATATGGTGGAGCTACACACCCTGTTTTGACATTAGACAAAATATATGATTAGGCCTCCTCGTTTCACTTAACATAATTTCTGCTTCCTAAAAGCAGACTGGAGGCACAGCCAAAAAAGGTAAAAGAGTTGATAAACAATAACGACAATGTATGAAATATATTGAACATGAACACGCCTTGAGGAAGAACTGTATAAAAGGGAGTACAGACAGACTCTATAGATTGCTCTGCAGTTCTCTCGGTTTTATTGTCTCTGATAATAAAATCTAAATTCTGGCATCAAAACCCCAAGACTTTGAGAATGATTCCTCACAGCATCGGCAGAAGCCACCACAAATTGGCATCACGACCCGGATTGAAAAGGAGCAGGGGTAGAGGACCACTTTGGGCTGACTTGACGAGCAACACGCTGGCCACTAAACAATAAGGTAAGCAGATTTTGCTTATATAATTAGTTTGTGTTGTTCGCCCGGTCTGCCCTTGGAGGTAAAATGGAAAAATGCTCCTCCAAATTTAAAGAACAATATAGGACAAAATAAAAAAAAGGGTTTTGATTCCAGAAGAAATAATTGCATGCACTGATCTGTTTTACTGTAATAGTAAATGAGGGCAAATTGTGCATGCAAAAATCTGTGTTTACTGCCAAGAGGGCCTTGAAGGATGGCAGCTTTACTAAAATAGAATAAGCAAACTGCTGTTTTTAACCAGATGAGATTGTTTTTATTAAGGGACCATTGAAAGAGATGATTGAAAAGTGAAAATTAGATAAAGAGCTGATTGCTCAGACACAATGTGGTCAGAGTTTACAAAGGTTTAATTTGATTAATGCAGTCTCTGAGTGTTAAAATTTCAGATGGCTTCTGGAACAGCGCCTTGACAAACTGAAGCAATGAACTGGAGTCTGTCTAACAAAGTGGTGAAGAAGCAAAGACACAGCTGCAGAGAGAAGTAGAGGGAGGGGCTGATGGACTTGCAACTCCCCTCCTGAAAGAGGAGTGCATACTTCTGCATGGAGAAAGGCTGACTTAAAGCAGGAAAAGGTGAATCTTTCACTTGAGACTTTTCCTGAGGGTGAAGAAAACATCCTGAAATGCAAAACTCTGGCAGGAGCAATCAAAAGCCAGACTCAAGAGAGGCAGAGAAACAATGGAGACCATACACCACAACATCAGGCCTTTGAGTGCCATCACAGACTGACCGACCCAGTGCAACAGCCAAACCGCTTCAACAGGCTGATGATCTAACCAGAAAGACTTCCATCCCTTCCCATTGCGTGCACAGGTGCTGCATATTTAATGATCGCTCACTATAGAGACTGCTTCAAATTTTGTTAATTATTTTATTAACTATATTAATCTTGATTATTCACTGGTTTCACAGCAGTTCTTTGAATTCTGTGTTTTAACTAACATTCTCAATCTGCTTTTCAATAGGTACCAGTCCAGCCTCATGTCTTAAAGATGAAGGATTTTGACAGACAGAAGTGAGTGCTTGACTCACCAATCAGATAAAAATGGAGCTGGATTTGGCTTAATGTGGGCTATTTCAACCAACCAGGGGAAAATGCACAACTGAGTTATTGACAACAATGCTGAATTATTTGGGGGGTTTAGGGGTAGACAAGATGTCTAATAGAAAAAAATATAGCTGATAAAATAAAAATATTGGTCACAATTTTCTAGGGCTAGATTGAATAAAATAATAATAAAAAATCTTTACTGGGGATAACAAGATGGAAATGTTGATGGCCATAGATCCTAGATTATGCAGAGATCTCCAATCCTCTTCTCAAAGTAGCTCATGAGCAATAACAAAAGAGTATTTGACTCAAATTTAAATTAGACAAACAAGTGACATTTGAGAAATTATAATTGGCTCTCTTAAGTGCACAATGTCTAGGCCAATTATTCTAAACCAATTAATCTATTAGATTTTGTTGGAAAAAAAGGGTTTATACAGTGGTGTTAAACGAAACTTTATGGTGACTGACTTTGCCCAGTTGCATGACATCTAGAAACTATGTGGAATGCAACCAGGTCTACACTCAGTAGAGTCTAATGGGAAAAACAAATCATGTTATCCTACTCAGAATCCATGGCATTCCACAGCTAAAATCATTTAGCTCACAATCAGCTGAAATCTCAAGAAAAAATGTTTTTGGCCAAAAGGGGGTGTGAAAGGGAGTGAAAAAGTATGAATGATGGTGCTGTATGGAGTGAAAGAAGGTGTCTGACGAGACCCTGAGGCAAATCAATCATTTTGCCAAAACAGCGGTATGCAATTTGTTATATGTGGGCCCACAGGGCAAATTATGCCCAGTAAAATAATGACCATGAATGAATTTGGTTAAGTTTCCTGGTCAGTTGTTGTTGCACAGCGTATAACATGGGAAGGCAGAGCAAAGCAAGCTTGCTCCGTCCACCCCACATCTAACTTTGATGAAGCTGATTCTGTGTAAAAAGGATAAAATATGGTCTTTCTGACTGTTAACATAATAAATTGGGTTGAGTGTTTTCCAGGTCAAAAGGCCTGTGCTACTGAGCAAGATAGGCCTGGGAAATTATCCAGTGATATAGTGGAACTTAGTTAAAAAAAAACTGAAATAAGCAAATTAGTAAATTGTTGAGAATAAAATTGAAATTAATTGTAAGGATGCTGATAACGGAGTAAAAGCAAATTCTTTATTATATTATAGAAAATGCGTATTAGCACTATACTCATTGTATTGACAGCAATGGATTTGTGAGAGCTCAAAAAAAAAAAAAGGAGCCAGGACAGCCCACATGAAATTTCCACAGGTCACACCAAGAAGGACGACTGGCCAGATGAGCAAACGAGCATGCTTGATATAACTAACAAAAACTCTGAAGGTTTCCATTTACAGGTGACAGCAGTGCTATCAAGGCCAGGGAATGGTTTGCTCCACCAATAAGAACCAGTGAGTGTACAGTTATGATCTAAAGGGAGAATCTTGCATTGAGCAGCAAAATGGTTGCAGAGTGAGACACCACCACATCTCTCACCTTAAAATACACCGTCCAGCTTCAACAACCCCACACAGCATGAAGTGAGGGATGACGGGCGTGCTAGTAACGACCCTCCCTTGCCAACGAAGGGAAGACCATTGCAACGACTCGCAAAGAGTCACCCCCTGGTGAAGATGGAATGAGTGATGGAACAGCTAACGAGATCAAAATATTTGGGAGCAGATGTGGGCCAACAAATGGAAAAGAGGACATAGAAGGACAAGAGAAGGAAACTTGAAACAGACAATAAGGGAGAAAGTGACAAGGAAAGACCAGTAACACAAGATGAAGTGCAAACTGATGACAAATTAAAAAAAGATATCTGATGATCATCACATGCCTAATGCATCTAATTCTACAAGCTCAAGCTGTAGCCAACAGCACCCAGACTTCCCTAGAATCAACTC